CAGAAACTTCTAGAATAATAAGAAGAAATGAGCAAACATCAAAAAAGGCCTTGACTGATGAGCATTTTGCAGTGCATTGGTGTGAATTTTTAAAAAATGTATATTATCATGAGAAGCTCTGTGCTTACTGGTCATCTGTAGTACACTTTATGCAGCGATGTGCAGTGCGCTCTCCAGTCATCTGGTCCGCGGTACACTTTATGCAGCAATACGCAGTGCACTCTCCAGTCATCTGATCTGCAGTACACTTTATGCAGTGATGCGCAGTGCACTTAGCAGTCATCTGATCTGTGGTACACTTTATGCAGCGATATGCAGTGTGCTCTCCAGTCATCTGATCTGTGGTACACTTTATGCAGCGATATGCAGTGTGCTCTCCAGTCATCTGATCTGCGGTACACTTTATACAGCGATACGCAGCGCACTCTCCAGTCATCTGATCTGCAGTACACTTTATGCAGTGATGCACAGTGCGCTCTCCAGTCATCTGGTCCACGGTACACTTTGTGCAGCAATATGCAGTGCACTTTCCAGTCATCTCATCTGCGGTACACTTTATGCAGTGATGCGCACTGCACTTAGCAGTCATCTGATCTGAGGTACACTTTATGCAGGCATCTGCAGTGCACTCGCTAGTCTATCTGATACATGGTACAGTTTTATGCGGTGATATGCAGTGCACTCGCCAGTCATCTTATCTGTGGTACACTTTTTGCAGTGATCCGCGGTGCACTCCCCAGTCATCTGGTCTGTGGTACAGTTTTATGCAGCAATACGCAGTGCACTTAGCAGTCATCTGATCTGTGGTACACTTTATGCAGTGATCCTCAGTGCACTTAATAATCAATTGATAGTAACAGAGTGAATGTGCGTGACATGGAACTTGTGACTCAGATGCGAGGGTGTATTCTTAGGATGTTCGTGCCCCCAGCTGTTGACCAGCAAAAGAATACTGCCTTTCAGAAGGCTTGAGCCCGTCGTAGATAAAAGCGTTCCTGGAACTTAAAAGTCTCTGCGTGTTTCAGTGTTGTTCTTTATGTTTTTTTAGGGAGGCAGCATTTGGGAGCTCTTTTAAGGAAGTGGGCAGGGCATGGTGTTCCTCAAGCCAAGGACTGGACTTGGTGTGTTTCTTTCTGGCTTTCTGCTGCCTGTCACCAATTTAGAGCTCTGGGTTGCTTGTGTGAGGGACACTTGGTCCATCTTCCTGGTGTTAGCTGTGGGCTGGCATGTACCTCCAGTTTTAAACTTGAGTCTTTTTTCTTCAGTATGGTTCAGAAGAAGACTGCACAGTGTTATGTATTCTCTCTGCCCAGTGATGACAAATTCTGAGTTTAGAGCTACGGAACCTGCTGTCACTGGCAGCCAACAGTGGATGCTGATGTAGAGATGGTGAGAGAAACACAGAGTGGCCCCTCGGGTGGCCCTGAGTAGCTGGATGGGGTAGGGCAGACATTACGTTTTGAGTTGAAAAATTGCAGGAGAATTGTTTTAGCGACTGTGTGTACCCAAAGCCTTCACTTTAACTGTGGGCACACTCTTTTTCTCCTCCCAACGAGTGTTGAATCAGGATTCAGACTGCCCTGGCTGTCTGAAAAACACACCAGTGGTTTTTCAGTTTGTTCAAATTAGTTCCCCTGGGTCCACATATTACATACACATGGTTGATTTGCCTCATTAGTCGCTTTTAAGTATATAGGCTTCACTCCCCCCTTTTTTCCTTGTCCTGTAGGTCACCCTTCTGTAGAACTTACCATGCTCTGTTAGCCCCGGCTATATTTCCATTTCCCAGAAAGGTTTACTCCCCCCATCCCCCTTTCTGGGCATCTCAGGGGCCAGACAGGGTCAGCTCTGGTCAGAGGGTCCATCACCTTGCCCAGGCAATATGATAAACTGCCACAGGTTGAGCATGGACTTGCCATACCTGGTTGTAAAAAGATTAATTTTTCTGCTTTAAACTTTAAAGTTTGGCATACACTTGAAATACCTCTTTTAAGGGATTTTATCTTTAGAAGCTACCACTTTGCCAGAAATGCTTGCTGACTTATTCAGTGCAGCTTTCTCTCACATAATCTCTCTTCACTGTTAGAAAATTACCACTTTAAAATTAAAGTTATGTTTTTAAATTTAAATTAAATTAATCTCAGCAGTTGTAAGAAATAATACAGAGATCCCTCGTACCCTTCACTCAGTTTCACCCACGCTAACATCCTGCAGCACTGTGGTACAGTATCACCACCAGGATATTGACATTGAAACCGTCAAGAGACAGCACATTCCATCCCCACAAGATCCCTCATGCTGCCCTTTTATAGCCACATTCACTTCCCTCCAGCTCCCTCCCTACCACCCACCCCCTAGGAACCACTCATCTCTTCCCCATTTTTATAATTTTTCATTTTAAGAATGTTATATATACAGTATGTTACCTTTTGGGGTTGGTTTTTTCCACTCAGCGTAATTCTCTGCAGTTTCATCCAGGTTGTGTATCAATAGCTTGTTCCTTTTTCTTGTTGAGTAGTATCCCATGGTATGGATGTACCATAGTTAATCCATTAACCCGTTGAAAGATATCTGTGTTGTTTCTAGCTTTTGGCTGTCGTGAGCAAAGCTGGTGTACACATTCGTGTGCAGGTTTTGGTGTGGAGATAGGTTTCAGCTCTTTGGAATAAATGCCCGGGAGTATGGTTGCTGGGTCGTATAGTAGTTAGAAAATTACTATTTACCAAGACCTTCCGTTAAAAATATATATATATATATATATATATATATATATATATATTTTAAAGAAATAAAGGAGAGAAGATGAAGGAAGAAATTCTTTCATTGTGAAATTATAAGCATCCTTAACTGTATATATTTGGTTTTAGTAGGGAAACTGACCCTATTGAAACTGAGAAAATAACTCTTTTTATCTCATACCTCCCGTATCTTTTTTTCTCAGAAAGATCTTTCTATCTGTATCTCTATATAGCTGTATCTAGATACAGATATATGAAAGATATCGATATATAAAATTGTGGTTTTATATATATATATATATAAATAACAATATTGCAGTTTTAACCATTTTTTAAGTGTGCAATTCAGTGACATTAATTACAGTTTGTCATGTTGTGCAACCATCACCACTATCCATTTCCAGAAGTTTCTGATCACCCCATACAGAAATTCAGTGCCCCTTAAGTTGTAACTCCTTGCTCCTTCTTCCCCCAGCCCTTGGTAATCACTAATAAACTTCGGACTCTATGCATTTGCCTGTTCTTGGTATTTCATATGAGTGGGATCATACAATATTTGTCTTTTTGTATCTGATTTATTTCACTCAGCATAATAATGTTTTCAGTAATCATCCATATAGCATATATCAGAACTTTATTTCTTTTTATGCCTGAATAATATTCTGTTGTATGGATATAAGGAATCCCTGGTGGCACAGAAGGTTAAGTGCTTGGCTGCTAACCTGAAAGGCTGGCGATTCTCATCCTCCCCGAGGCACCTGGAAAGAAAGGCCTGGTGATCATAGCTAGTGAAAATTCTGTGCACAGTTCTATTCTGATACATGGGGTCACCATGAGTCAGAATCTACTCACTGGCAACTGATTTTATATGGATATATACCACGTTTTGTTTATCCATTCATCTGTTGATGGACACCTGGGTTATTTCCACCTTTTGGCTATGGTAAGTAGTGCTGCAATGAATATTGGTGTATCAATATCTGAGTTCCTGTTTTCAAGTTTTTGGATATATACCCAGGAGTAGAACTGTGGTATGTATATTAATTCTATGTAACTTTTTGAGGAACTGCCAAACTGTTTTCCACAGCATCTGCACAATTTTACATTCCTACCAGCAGTGGATGAGAGTTTCAATTTTCCACATCCTCGCCAACACTTCTTATTTTCCATTTTCCTGATAATAGCTATCTGTTGGGTGTGAAGTGGTATCTTATGGTGGTTTTGATTTGCATTTCCCTAATGACTAATAATGTTGAGCATCTTTTCATGTGCTTATTGGCCATTTGCTTATCTTCTTTGGAGAAATGTCTCTCCGTTCCTTTGCCCGTTTTCTGCAGATTGTCTCTTCACTTTTTTAACAAAGTTCTTTGGTGCACAAAAGTTTCTAATTTTAATGAAGTCCAGTTTATCTGTTTTCTTTTGTTGCTCGTGCTTTTGGTGTCAGATCTAAGAATCCATTGTCAAAAACTATGTTTTGAAGCTTTATTTCTTTTGTCTTTTTCTAAGAATTTTAAAGTTTTCTTATATTTAGGTCATTGATCCATTTTGAGTTAATTTTTATATGTGGTGTGAGGTATGGGTCCATCTTCATTGTTTTTGTATTGAGATCCAGTTGTCCAAGCACCATTTATTATCCTTTACCCACTGAACTGTCTTGGCAACCTTGTTGAAAGTCAGTTGACAGTAGATGTACAGGTTTATTTCTGGACTCCGTTGTTCTATATATCTATCCTTATACAAGTGCTACAGTATTTTGATTACTGTACTTTGTATTACATTTTGAAATCAGTAGGGGGTCCTTCTACTTTATTGTTCTTTTTCCAGATTGTCTTGTCCTTTCAAGGCCCTTGCCATTCCATATGAATTTGAGGACCAGCTTTTCCATTTCTTCAAAAAAGACTGTTGGAATTTTGATAGGGATTGTGTTAAATCTGTACATCACTTTGGGTAGAATTGACATCTTAACAATATTCAGTCTTCCATCCCATGAACACAGGATATCTTCCCATTTATTTAGGTTAGGTCTTCTTTAATTTCAGCAGTATCTTATTAGTTTTCAGCATACAAGTCTTTCACCTCTCGGGTTAAATCTATTTCTTTTAGAATTTTATACTTTTAGATGCTGTTGTAAATGTAATTTTCTTAATTTCCATTTCAGATTGTTCATTGCTCTTGTATAGAAACATAACTGATTTTTGTGTGTTGATTTTGTACCCCGTGACTGCTGAATTGATTAAAAATATATTTTTAAATGCTTTACAGATTTACCAGACCAGAGCACCTAGGAAGCAGTGCCAAAATCAAATGTAGTGGTTGTCATAGCTACCAGGAATCCACTAAGCAGCTCACCATGAAGAAATTGCCCATTGTTGCCTGTTTTCATCTTAAAGTAAGTTTTCTAGAAAACCAGCTTGAGTGGCAGACTCTATTTTAAGTCAACCTACAATGTATAGCATATTGGTCTGGTGTACAGAGTATGTTTTATCACTGTAGTGGGTTAGTGAGGAATGCTAAACAGATTGTAGGGTGATAAATTATACTTACCTTCCTGTCTTGCTAAGAGAAGTTTATTGTGGTAAACAAAGAATAATTTACTCATACTGAAAATAGGATGTGAGTCACAACACTTTTTTTTTAATAGATATATACCGTATGGAGCCCTGGTGGCACAGTGGTTAAGTGCTCGGCTGCTAACCAAAAGGTCGGCAGTTCGAATCTACCAGCTGCTCCTTGGAAGCCCTATGGGGCAAATTCTACTCTGTTCTACAGGGCCACTATGAGGTGGAATCGACCTGACGGCAGTGGGTTTGGTTTTGGTTTATATAGCATATATACCGTTTTTCTTGCCCTGTAGATCACCCATCCTGTAGAACTTCCTGCACCAAGAAAGTTTTTTGTTATTACTCTCCTATGCAGATTATTCCATCCTCCCCCCAAATTTTCAGATTGTCTTTTACTTACAGACACACACACACACACACACACACACACACACAAAAAAAAAAAAAACCCCAAACCATTAGTATTATGATCTAGTCGAGGGGTTGGCAGAAACTTTTTCTGTAAAGGACCAGGTAATAAATATTTTAGGCCGTGTGGGCCACATAAAAGCCTCTGTTAAGTATTTTTGTTTTATTTTACAGTTCTTTAAAAATATAAAAACCATTTCCAGCTCACTGGCTGGATTTGGTGACTACCAATCTAGTCGAATTAATATCTTTTGTTTGGTGAAAGAAGCAGTGTGCTTATTTTTGCTACCATAGATTGTTATACACATTTGTTTTCTTTCCTACCACCTGGCACTTTGCTGAGTTGGTTGTTAGGTTTCCTTTTGTGCCTCTGGTGTTCATCACTCTGAACAATCCCATAATAATTCAAGATTTGACTTGAACCTCATGGGTTAGATTGGTATGGAATAATACTGTGTTACTGAATCTGTAAACTCCAGATATAGCCAAAAAGCAGTTAAAAAAATAAGATTAAAAGCTCACCTTTGGGTGGAAGGACTCAGAGAAACACCATTGGTGGACCCCTTGTGGCTGACACTTGATCCTTCTTCCTCTTCCCTCTCTGCTCCCATTTCCTTCACTTCTGTAGCGGTTTGAACACTCAGCCAAGCTGAGACGGAAAATTACCACGTATGTGTCCTTCCCCCTGGAGCTGGACATGACCCCTTTCATGGCCTCAAGGTATGGAAGGGTTTGTTCCTGTGTCCTGTAGTTAGGGGGTGTCCTCGTGTTATGTCAGTAACCCAGCACAGGGTTCCATGATGAAGTAGTTGTAGGAATTAATGTCAGTCTTCACTTCACAAACTTGATCACCCTGGCCTAAGCCTAAGTAGGGAGTTCCCGGGTGGTGCACGTAGTTAACATGCTTGGCTGCTAACTGAAAGGTTAGCGGCTCGAGTCCACATGGAGGTACCTTGGAAGAAAGGTGTGGCAGTCTACTTCCCAAAAATCAGCCATTGAAAACCCTGCAGAGCACAGCTCTGCTCTGACACACATGGGGTCGCCATGAGTCAGAATTTACTTGATAGCAACTGGTTTAACTCAGCATACATTTTAGCTTAATGAATTGTCTTTCCTCATATATAATAGGTGTATTTCTGCTTCGGAGTTTTTTCTAGCAATCTTTTATCATCTTTTACACTTGGAAAGTCAGCACAGTTAGTATCACAGCTAGAAGGCAGCTTTTAGCTGATGGAACAGATTTTGAAATACAGATTTAACATAGTTGATTTTGTGGTTGTGGATTCCATTTTTCTTGTTTTCAAATCTTATAGACTGCTTGAAATTTACCCTCCGGAAAAACTGTGGCACCATCTAAAGCACGTTGCCTCGTTATTAATTGTGGCATCTTCCTGGTGTCTCCTTTCTCATGGCAGTCCTGTCCCTGTGGAGGGGCTATCTGGGTAACAAGTAACAAGACCATTGGAATTACCTCTATATCTCTATGTCATGGAACCATGCCTGGGAAAATCAGTCAACTTAACCATGATTTCTCTTACCCAGGAAGGCAGTAATACAATTGCTGATATCAAGGTATCAGAGATCTTAATATTTTCAGCACAGAATGTTAGTTGCCATCAAGTTGGCACCGAATCATGGCAACCCTACATATAACAGAATGAAACGTTGCCTGGTCATGAGCCATCCTCACAATCATTGGTATGCTCGAGCCCATTGTGACAGCCACTGTGTAGTGTCTTCCAACCTCAGGGGCTCATCTCCTAACACTGTATCAGACAATGTACGGTTGTGATCCATAGGGTTTTCATTGGCTAATTTTTGGAAGTAGATCGCTGGGCCTTTTGTCCCAGTCTTTCTTAGTCTGGAAGCTCTGCTGAAACCTGTCCACTGTGGATGACCAGCTGGTATCTCAAATAAAGGTGTCGTAGTTTCCAGCATCACAGCAACACACAGGTCACCACAGTATGATAAACTGATAGATGCAAGATGTCAGCTCATGGTAGCAGTGGGTGTTTGCATTAAATAAAGCTTGGAACTCACATTTCCAGCACTGCCCCGCCCCTCAGTTTTAAAAGGAGGTATGGTGGTAGTAGTCTTTGAGTGGCACAAATATTTAAGTGCCGGAGTACTAACCAGAAGATTGGCAGTTCAGACCCACCCAGAGGCACCTCAGAAGACAGGCCTGGCAGTCTGCTTCTGAAAGGTCACAGCCTTAAAAACTCTATGGAGCAGTTCTACTCTGCGCACGTGGAGTTGCTATGAGGCAGAATTAACTTGACGACATCACAACAACAACTGCATGATGGTAGTAAAAAAATAAGTAATTTTGGTTCTTTTGAGGAAGTAACTGTCTTAATTGTTGAACAGGTTTGATTTATACTTTTTAAAATTAACCCTTTAAGTCTATGAGGAAGAGTACTCATACTACCTATGCGTCCAGATCTAATCCCATCATAAAGCCTGTTCAAAAGCCTCCATGGGTGACGATGGCCCAGAGCTTCCTCTTGGGGTGGCCATCCAGGAAGTGGGGTCCAGTTGGTCTGGGGTGAACCAGTTCCAAGGCAGCAGGTGCGTGTGCTCTCCTGCAGCTGATGTAGCCGTTCTGAGCCTCAGTGTCCTCCTCTCCAGTCGGGTAATTCCTGCCTGAAAGGGGCAGTTGTTGGAAGAATTAGAAATCCTGTGTGATGTGTACCTAGTACAGTATCTGACATAGGCTCTCGGTAAGTGTTAATGTTATGCTTCGCTTTGACTGGTCATTCTAGTGATGCTGAGTTTTGGTGTTAATTTATCACAGCAAAGAGAGCAGGATGAATGGGCAGTACCAGCAGTTGACGGATAGCCTGAACAATGACAACAAGTAAGGGACATTGTGGTGTTTTGTCCTGGGCATCTCCTTTGTGAGCAGGGAAGGGGAGGGGTGCCTGTCTGCCTTGTGGAAAGGGCCGCCCCATTTCTCATGCAGACAACTACACTTGCTAGGGCTCTAGCTCTTGGCTTTTCTGGCCACTGGCAGACCTACTGTCTTGCCACCCATTTACCTATGTTGACAATAATGCCTCTGTTAGGAAAGGAATTTTCACACCTGTGTCTGTGTTATAAATGCTCCCTGATCCAGCTGTTCTGGTCTCTTGTGGGTAAGAAAGGTTTTGTACTGGTAGTTACAGTCCTAGAGTGAAGAACCCAGTGTCCAAACTCAAGCCTTGCTGCCTGTTGCTGGTATCAGAACGAAATTTTCTTTCCTTCCTGTAGGGAAGTTGATTTCTTCCCCTGTCCTTCCTACCACTGGTGTGGAAGAAAGAAGGAAGGGATGTTAACTCTTGTTGAAAGAAAGAACAGTTACAATGTCCACACACCCGATGATTCTCTGAAGGCAGCCGGTGGAGTCCTGGCTCCACATGGACATGGCGGAGCCTGGGCCAGAGCTCAGCAGGGCAAGCTGGGCTCTCTTCCCCGTGCAACCTGCTGCACAGCCGCGTCAATTCCTGGGGCTAAATATCTGGGGTCAGTAGGGCATCCCTTAACATGCAGGCTCTTCACTCAAATGTGGGCTTTTGACTGCTTAAAGGTGGTTCGGTTTCTGATGGTAAAATTGGAGTAACTGTTCTGTTACTCCTCCACCCCCTTCCTTCCCACCCAGATACTCCTTGTTTGCGGTTGTTAACCATCAGGGGACCTTGGAGAGTGGCCACTACACCAGCTTCATCCGGCAGCACAAGGACCAGTGGTTCAAGTGTGACGATGCTATCATCACCAAGGCCAGCATCAAGGATGTGCTGGACAGTGAGGGGTATGTCCCCAGGCCCCCAGGAGGGAGGCGGCATGGGTAGCCACTTCCCTGGGAGATGTCTGTGCCAGAGTGGGGTCTGTCTTCAGTACCACTTAGGGGTGTTCACCTTCACTTGTTCTGTGGGATGCCAGCTTGAGCCATCTTTGGCCAGGAGAGACCATAGCTGACCACAGTCATCCTATGGACTGGTTCCCTTGCTCACACCAAGCAAGTCACGGCAGCCATTTATTTTAAGCACGGACATAAGCTGAGCACACTGGCTCTCTAGCAGTCCTTCCTGTCCCATTCCCTTCCTAACACAAGAAAACACTGCTCCCCCAGGGGCCCCGGGAAAGCCCCTTGCATAAGTCACCTTCTCCTTTCACTGCGTTCTTAGTCTCAAGGCTCACTGGGACTCCCAGCCTCCAGGATGAGAAGCAAACCAGCTACCGTAATGACCTGGGGAGTCTGGACTTTATATTTTGAGCAGTGGGGGAGCGGTTGAAAGATCTTAAGTAGAATGATGCAGTTGGATCTGTGCTTAAAGGGCAGCCCTGACGCCTAGAGGTGGATTTAGAGGGAAGCCGTTGCCATCGTCGCAGCACAAACAGGCCCTTAACAAAGGCAGTGGCAGTCACAGGGAGGGGAGCAGAGCCCAGAGGTATTGCGGATGAGCGGGATTTCCTGGCTTCCTGATGAATGAGGGAGAGCATGGGCCCAGAGTGACCTGGGCATGGGAAAGGGGGTAGTACATTTGTCAAGGTAAGGAATCTTTCCACCGTTGGGACTAAAAAACTATCTGACCATGAAACTTGATTCTGCAGACGCCTGGAGAGGACGTTGCACAAGCGTCCTCATTTAAGGAGAGTGGTTTTTGTTTTAACTTCTCATGAATCAAAGTGTAAGTGTGTTTTCTCTCCTCTGCCTCCTCAGATACTTGCTGTTCTATCACAAGCAGTTCCTGGAATACGAATAGTCTTAGCAGCAGCTGGTCAGAATGAAGGGAATGAGTTGGCAAGCCTCACCGCAACCCCCTGCCCTCCTGCTGTGGAGACACCACCACCCACTCAGGAGCCACCACCCTGGTTGGGCTCCCTGGCCTGGGCCGGAGGATGGGGAGCAGGGTTGCCCAGGATTCAGGTGGTTTTCACGGACCAGCTCTGCAGTCAGGGACGAGCTCCAGGAATTGCACAAAAGAGAAAATTAAATGCAGGGTGTGCACTTGGGTGGGGAAGGAGCAGAGTAGACCTGTCACTGGTCATATCCTGTGCTCCTCAAAAAAATGTGGGGGCAAGTGGTGGGGGGTGCCCTCATCAGCACAGAGCATCTCCTGCTTGTGCTTCATTTCTAATTGACCAGTGGGTAACAATGAAAAAAGCCTTAAAAAGGCCCATTTAACAGTTTTTATAGGCACATTAAAGCCATCAAATAGAGGAGACAAGGATATTATGCAAGGACAAAGGACTTTGCAAGTATCTTTGTATTTGTGAGTTCTAGTATTAAATACATATAGTCTGATATTCTTAGCTGGGTGTTTTCAGCAGATACAAAGAACAACCCACAGGGTTGTGGAACTGAGGACCGAACTTGGGGTTCCAAGCATGTCTTTTCTGCAGATAACTTAGCATCAAACTGCATGTTGAAGCATCAGCCCAGATGTTCTCTCTTTGTTTTCTAGAAATAGGCATTTTCTTATCTCCCTCCTCCTTTTTGATGGTGAATTTCATAATTGTAATAGTAGTAAAGTGAATGAATTACCGAGTTTATACTGAAATTTAGATTTTTCCCCTTAATTCTAGAGAGTGACTCTTGCTTTTTCAATGTTGCTGTTTTGTTGCTTCCTTCCCCTCCCCACTGCCCGCCTGGGACGCGTCTGTGCCACTGTTGGCGGGGGGGATGGGGGAGAACCGGCCATAGCTAGTGAGGGGCTCGGTAGTACGGGACCCTTTTATGTGGTGGAACATTTTCTGTGGTGCTTGCTGGTTCCCTGTGCGTCTTCAACCCCACCCCCCTCTGCTCGGTGGCTGTGTGTCGGATTTGAAATAGTGTGGCTTCACGTGGAGACTGCCTCAAACTGCTCTGCGTCCTGCTTTCCATGTTGTGTCGTTATGACTGTAGCGGAAATGACTCGTAATACGAGCTTGTCAGGAGAACAAATGGAGGAAATAGAATATTTGTTCCTTGTAAGATATCTTGCACGTGTCTGTCTAAACCTAAACTTAGATTTCCATTTTGGAGACAATTTTTTCCATTTATAACCTAGGGGCTTGGGGGAGGGAACATGGCTTTTGCCGGGTTTGTGGTATAACTATCTCTGTAGCTGCCTGTCTCGGACCTGTCCATTCTTTATTCTAGAGAAGAATTAGAGTAAGCCATTTCAAGAGTCAGTAAAACTTTTTCTGTAAAGAGCCTGAGTAAATGCTTTAGGCTTTGAGGGCTAAAGGGCTTTGTCGCGAAAGCAGCCAGAGGCAGTACAGAGATGAGTAGATGCTTCTGTGTGCCAGTGAAACTTATTTATGGATACTGAAATTTGGATTTCACAAAATTTTCACATCATGACACGTTACTTTGATTTTAAAAAAAAATTTAAAAATATGAAGCTACTCTCAGCTCACATACCCTACAAAAACAGGGTGGCAGCCATATTTCGCCCTGGACTGTGGTTGGTCAGCCCTGACATAACTCATTAGCTAGTTGCGGGAGGTGGTAGTAACAGTAGGAGTTGAGTAGCAACTGCTCCAGGTACTAGAATACATATAATGAGCATTATTTACTGCAGAATCATCACGTGTGGAAAATCCTGAGTGGTAGTTTAAAACAGTTACCCAGTTCATTCTCTGCTGTGTTCCAGCCTACAGAACACAGCCAAAGTGTGTTTTGAGATGGCAGTCGTTGTCGGAGACGTCCCAAAATGGCCCCATGTGGCCAAGTTCCATGCAGTTGTGTGGCTAAGCGATCAAGCTTTCTTATTTGGGGGCCAGGACAAGGCGTTGTCCTTTAATAAGGAACACATCTAATGGAAAGGAGGGTTCATGTAAGTTGGCCTACAGAATGCTGGGCCATGCTGTCTGCCTGGAAACGCCTGCCACCTCGCTTGCGTTACTGGGCTGTCCTGAGTGCGGTGTGACACAGCACATGTGCTTGTCGTGGGCTGTTATGCAGGCTGCCTGTGGTTAGACTGGTCCTGTCCACTCGATGTGATAGTCCTGAGCTGTGGCGGCTAACCCCTGACCCCCACATCTATCTCCATCTCCTCTTTGTCGGCCTCCCCCAACCCCATTCCCATCCCCTCTCGTGTCTACCAAGGACCGAGGGAGCTGCATTGGTTGTCCCTGGACTTATTTTCCACTGTTTGCATCTAGAGTAACTCCCCTTATTTGCACTCAGCCAGACTTGGCTCAGGTGGAGCTGATGGAGCCTCTGTCTCCAGAGTGGGCACAGATTCCGGGCTTGCTTGGCCACACCTCTGCCTATGCTGTCTGCATGAGCGCCTGCATTTGACACCCGGGCTTGGGTTTGCCTTTTGAGAAACAGATGGGTTTGAGGATTTCTTCTCTTGTAGCCCTAGCCAAGTTTAGGACAGCTGTTTTCCTATTCCCTGATAACCACCCTGCGTAGTGTTCACATTGTCACAAAGTAGATTTCATCACTGAGGACCTCATCGTGTGCCCTTCCTCACCCTGCCAGTGTATTGAAACAGCATGTACCTCTGAGCTGCCACCGTTAGCACAGTGCTCTGAAACCCGATGCTGGGTCGCCTCACAGATATCCTAAGGGATGTTTGGTTGACCATCAGGGCAGCGTTCCAGAGCCCCGTGCTGGGTCTCCTCTCACATTTCCTAAGACAATGTTTTGAGCATAGACCGTTTACTGGCCCAAGGGCAACTCAAGGGTTAAGTGGATGGCCACCCTTGGAGCTGGGCTGGGTCTTCTTCCTCCTGTCAGGCGCTGGCACTCTCCGGGACTCCCTCTCCCAGCAGTGCATATACCTGAGTGCTGCCATAGTCGTATGCTTCGTTTGTATAAAACTGCTGTTCTTCTGACAACCTAAGTGACTGTTTTATTTACTATAACTCTGAAAACAAAAATTGTCAGACAAATTTCAGTGATTGTGCTGTGATTGGATGTTTACACCTGCTCTCACCTGTCTCTCTGAGGAGCTATGTGACTTTCCCTCTCCTCCCCCAGTGGCTGTAGTGTTTCCTGTGTCATAATAAAGCTGCGTTTTATCCTGAGACCTGGCCATTCTCCTCTCGCTAACTCAGCAGCCAGAGGGAGGGGGCAGAGACCAGAGGCTGGATACTGGTATCAAAGTGAGGGCCATCCACGCACCCTCAGCCCTTCTGAGCTCCCGTGACCCCAATGTTGTCATCGTCTTTTACCCTGTCTCCCTCCTTCTGTGGCAGGAGGGTAGCATGCCCGGGAAGCAGACAGTCAGGGTCCTCACCCTTGGGATGCTGGGATGGCTGGGTTCCCCACACCTAGCATGCAAGCACAGCTGGGGTCTCCACACCCGGCATGCAGGGACTGCTGGGGTCACCATACCCGGCATGCAGGGACAGCTGGGGTCCTCATACCTGGTAGTCAGGGTACTTTACCAAGGGCAGTAACCCCAACCTTCATTCTTGAAGAGTCTGAGTGCTCACCCCACCCCCCAGCGTTTGGAAACTGCAGTTTCCATTAACTTTGTCACATGGAAGTACAGAGGGACCCCCTGAGGGTTCCAGACAGGCCTCCTTGTCCCCATTGCATAGCAGCATCCCAGGCTCCCCTAGGTAATCAGGATCAGAGTAACACTTTTTTTTTTGCCTGTTGGTTCAGTAGCATGAGGAGTCCAGAATGACCAGATGGCTTTCTGCAGCTTCAAGTAAATTGGAACCATGTGTCGCCTGGGGAAGCTTCCTCCACTGTAAACTAAGATCTGTAAAGAAGCAAAGTTCAAATTTGCCAGGAGAGGAATAAAAAAAAAAAATTACGAGTGGATTATTAGATATAATATAGAAACAAGGCAATTCCATTTCCACCCTTGATTCTAAGACCATGTGTCTGGTCCTGGGAGGAGTCAGCACCATATAACCATTTCTAGTTAGAAGCATAACAACCATCCTCAAGAGAACTCCATCCCTGCCTGTCTCAGTCACCCAAGTGGTGCCCTAACCAACTCTTCAGAAAGCTGTCAACTTTCAGGTAGCTTAGGTGCCTCCGGGTGGTGGGGTATTGTGGTGACATGAGTTCCTTTATGTGGCCTTTTGCCTTAGTTTTTTTGGAAAACAGTTTGAGAGATTTTCCCCCTAAACCCTGAGGTATTACCTTTGCTCTAGTTTTCTACCCTAAAGGGTTTGTTACTTTTGTCCAGGTGGATTGGCATTTCCTGAGTAAGCTGTAAACAAGTTGTGGTTTGATACTTTTTGCCTGGCCCTGGGCTGCAGCCCGCCCTGTAATTGGTATGCACCTTGCAGGGATTGGTCAGTAGACTATGCAAATGAAGTATCTGTGGCTACCGAGGGATTGGTCAGTTTGTGGTCCCCACTGGGAGGGGCTGTGCCTTGAAATTGATGCTGAATTTGTAGATATAAGCAGCCACCCCCATAGAGGTTTTCAGAGAGACAGACAAGCAGGAAGAAGCAAAAGGAAGAAAAGAAGCAGAGAGAAAAGAGGTAAGGAACCTTCTAAAAGAACTGTAATACTGAAGACAGCAGTGGGCCTGGAAAGGGCCCTGTGGCCGAGTTGGTGGTGACAGACGGCAGGGCCAAGAGGAATCTGTCGTCAGGGCCGAGAGGAGCCCTGCACAGCCAAGAGGAGCTGAGAGAGCTGTCCTGCACTGTAGAAGGGAGACTTGGCCTATGTGCTTCCTGATCCTGATCCTGAGTTGTAGCCTGTTTATCCTGATCTTGAGTTGTACCCTGTTCTTTAATAAACCACTTAACTGTAAGTATGATTTGTGAGTTCTGTGTAGCCATTTTAACGGATTGTTGAACTCAGAAAACAAGTAGAGAGTGCCATGGGAGAGACTGCTGGTGTCAAAATTGGTAAAAACGTTGGAGGGTGAAAGTATGCCTGACCTCCACCTCATAGGAATTAGCTTTGGGTTGATCCTGGTCATTATCTCTCCTGAAGTTACGTTTAGATACTACTGTTACTTCTCCTATTTTACAAGTATGTAGTACAGTTAATTCCATGGATGGGAGCCTGTTGTTGTACGCCCTGTGGTGTGAATTGGGGTTCCTGGTGGAAGCATTGCTATGTGGAATGTGGGATGGTGGGTGGCAGGGCAGGCAAATCCACTCCCTGATAGGGTTTACTCCAGTGGAGATGAATCTGCCACTATGTGTGAGAGGCCCCATGTAGGGCTCTGGTAGCTGGCCATCTCCGTTGGAGGCGATGCCACTTCAGGGATCAGTGTGTCTTTGCTGCTGGCAAATTAGGTACCAGTAGCATTGTTAGCCTTGGTCAGGGCAGGCCAGTGATACAGAGCATGTTCCATGCTCTGTCCCTGTCACAGCGGCTGCTTTACCCGGGGCCTGTTGAGAAAGCCTGGAGCCTGGACAAGACAGTATCCACAAGGCAGTCCATGCTGTCCTTCTGGTTGTCAAGCCTCTTCTGGGTGGGCTCTGGTAGGCTTTCACTGGACACCTTCCCAGTCTCACCCTTTGAGGGTTCATCCCCCTCCTAGACATCACCTGCTTTTTAACCATACTCCTTTCAAGTTAAGGGGGCCCTGGTGGAGCAGTGGTTAAGAGCTCAGGCTGCTAACCAAAAGCGTGGCAGTTTGAATCCACCAACTGCTCCTTGGAAACTGTCTTAGTTGTCTAGTGCTACTATAACAGAAATACCACAGTGGCTGGCTTCAACAAACAAAAGTCTATTTTCTCACAGTCTAGTAGGCTAGAAGTCCAAATACAGGACATCAGCTCGGAGGGAAAGCATTCTCTCTCTGTCATCTCTGGAGAAAGGTCCTTGTCATCAGTCTTTCTCCTGGTCTAGGAGCTTCTCAGTTCAGGGACCCCGGGTCCAAAGGACATGCTCTGCTCCTGGTACTACTTTCTTGGTGGTATGAGGTCCCCTGTCCTTTGCTGACTTCTGTCTTTTATATCTCAAAAGATACTGACTCAAAATACAACCTAATCTTTTGAGTCCTGCCTCATTAACATAACTGCCTCTAATCCTGCCTCATTAACATATAAGTAGAATTTACAACACATGGGAAAATCACATCAGATGATAAAATGGTGGACTATAACACAATACTGGGAATCGTGGCCTAGCCAAGTTGATAACACATTTTTGGGGGACACAATTCAATCTGTAATAGGAACCCTATGAGGCAGTTCTACTCTGTTCTGTAGGATCGCTGTAAGTCAGAATCGACTCAACGGCAGCAGGTTTTGGTTTTTTCCAAGTTTTTGACCACCCAGCCAAGCTGTGAGCAACTCCCTATAAATCAGTATAGATCAATACTTTGGGCCATATCTCATTCTAGACAGGATGGGTGACCAGATGTATTACAGTTTGAAGATCTACTCGCCAGGTTTTTCTTCACTGCCCTTCAGATCTGTCACTGCACAGGATGAAGAGTTGCAGCTCTGTCCACTTTCAGGTGGTTCCAGCATCTGTGAGCTAGACTTGGCTTTTTCTTCCTCAGTCATTTGGCCATAAGGAACACAAGGAGGCCCTGGGCCTGACTCTAGAGAGGCAGCAATGCAACAGGTGTCGATGTTGAAGGAATCTGACCCCCTGTTTATGCAACTCTACCTCCTGCCCATGTTCAGTCTCTTACCTGCCATTTCCACTTGATGATAGATGGCTGCTGCACACACGCCCAACCTTATGGTGAGGTGGGTCAGACAATGCCTGTCTTATCATGGAATGATTAGGCATGGAGTCTGTCCTAGGAAAAAGGAGAAGCTGATTCTCAAAAGGAGAATATCTCTAGAAAAAGAACATGGCTCAGATTTGCTTCCAAATCCTGGAGATCTGCACGGTGACTCTTCTGTTGGTCCTTGCTAGGGTCTCCGTAAAGAATCCTTATTTGCCACGGATGTTTCAAGTTCCATTGGATCTTCTGGATCATAAGATTCAAGTGGTGGAGCAGCATGTGTGGCAGACAGCCTGAACTTGCTCTGGTTCCACTTGACACTGGCAGCCATATGATGCCTTCAGATGTGTAGAAAGAACTCAAATGTGGTTATGTTGTCTCCAAAATCCGAAAAAGCCTGCCAAGCAATTTTCATTTACCTACCTTTTTTACTAGGTGCAGCAGCTTGGAGGGGAGATCCCTTGGAGGAGATATCTTGACATGCTCCAGACCACTGAACCCCCAGAATTCACCAAGTTGCGAACCCCTGTTTTGGGGAGGTTATTGCTCACTCTCTAGTTATGTTTTACTGAAGCATCTATAATATTTGCTACTTCCTGCTTATCAGATCCAGTCCACAAAATGTCACCAATGTAGTGAACCAGAGTGATGTTTATGGGGTGTTAAGATGGTCAATATGTCTGTGGACTGTACAGCAGAGAGCAGGAGAATGGATGCAGCTCTGATGTTCTACCAGGTAGGTATCCTGTTGGCCCTGCCAGGTAATAGCAAGCTGCATTTTGTAGTCCTTACAGATTGGTATGAGATAGTGTGGTTCAGTGGTAGAATTCTCCCCTTCCATGTGGGTTTGTTTCCCGGCCAGCGCACTTCATGCACAGCCACCACCTGTCGTCATTGGAGGCTTGCATGTTGTTATGATGCTAAACAGGTTTTAGCAGAGCTTCTAGACTTAAGATGGACTAGGAAGAAAGGCCTGGTGATCCGCTTCCAAAAATCAGCCAGTGAAAACCCTATGAATTACAACACTCCAATCCACAACTGATCGTGGGGGTGGCACAGAACCGAGTAGTGTTTTGTTCTGTTGTGCATAGGGTTGCTATGAGTCGGGGGCTGACTTGAGGGCAGTTAACAACAACACAAATTGGTTTGGAAAAAAGGCGTTAGCCGGTTGAGTAGATGCATACTTAGTGTCCGAGGCCATGTTGATTTGATCCAGTAAAGATACTCTATCTCTGACAGCAGCTGCAGTTTGAGCCATCACCTAATTAACTCTTCAGTAGTCCATAATCATTCTCTAAAATCCATTGACTTCTGCACAGGCCAGACAAGTGAGTTAAAAGGGGAAGTGACAGATACTATCACTGCTGCTCCTGTCAAGTCTCCAGTGGGGACATTGATCTCTGAAATCCCCCAGGAATACAATATTGCTTATGATTTACAATCTTTGTAGGGAAGTAAAATTCCAGGGGCTGCTTCTATACAGCTCTTCCTACCATAATAGCCCTCATGCAAATTGATCAAAGAGTTAATGTGGGGATCCTGCGCCACATGCAGGAACTGGGGAAGTAACCACAAGGTGGGCCTGTGGATCAGCTGAGCCCACTGTAAGTTGTACTTGAGCTAAGACTCCAGTAATGACCTGACCACCACAGCCCTGGTTTGATTGGTGGGTCCCAGGGAGCTGCATCTGTTCAGTTAGTGTCTCATCATGCCTAGAGATCTGGGCATTTTCCTGTTCCCTAGGGCACAGCCACTCTGGTAAATGGCCACAGGTCTCTTGGGGGACAATCTGTGGTCTGTACTTGTAGCAGTCCTTCATAATGGGACCTGAAAGGGGCTCTGAGTCTGTGAGTTGACTTTAAGTCTGGAGAGTTAAGTGAGGTCATGACTTCACTGGCATTACATCAGGCTTCTGGCTGCTACTCCTAGATAAGAAAACATGTCTCCAAAAAGACCCGTGTGAGAATGTTCATGCAAACCAAAAGCAACCCAGTGTCTATCAGCAGGAGAATGGACAAGCGAATTGTCGTATATCCATATAACAGAACATTAAAATCAAAACCAGTTGCCATCAAGTGGAGTCCAACTCATGGCAACCCCACGTGTTGCAGAGTAGAACTGCCCCATAGGGTTTTCACTACTCAGCAGTAAAAACACAAACTGCTGATGTATGGAACAACACGGATAAACCCCTGAAACGTGTTGAATGAAAGAAACCAGAAACAAAAGAATATATGCAACATTCTCCATTTAAATAAAGTTCAAGGTTAAACAGAACTAATTCTTGATGATAGGAATAAAACCAGTTAGTTTGGGTGGGGTATCACTGGGAAAGAACATGAGAGAACGTTTAGGAGTGATAGAAATGTTATGTATCTTGATTGGGAAGTGGCATTGAACAGTTGAAGGTGGTGGTGGTTGAGAGCACTAAGAGGGAACAGCACAGGCAAATGCTGCAGGACAGCAGGGGCCCTGTGACTGCTGGAAGGCCAGTGTGGCTGGAGCACAGCAGTGCAGAGATGAAAGACACCATGGGCATTGGTGATGTCAAAATTAGCTGGCAAGATGGCAGCACCAGGCATGGTGGAGGAACTGGAGCTGTTTATTTGAAGACATGTTGAATCTCTTGATAGAGGTCAGCACATGAAGGAAGGATAAACCTTAGTTCTGTGTGGCTCTGAGAAGGAGAACTAGTGGGAAGGAGTCACAGAAAAGTAGATAATCTCTGTAAATATTCTAAAGAAGAACTTTCTCCAAAGAAAGCTATCTAGAAATGGGGTGGGTGATTAGAAAAGTCCCCATCCAAGCCACCGTTCAGCTCATTGCCAAAAGATTGCCATCTGGGACTTGAGCATCTGATGAATGTGACTGGCTGTATCCTTGAAGACTTGGTGACATGGGTTAGCATGCATAAGGGTTTGGGGGATAGCTTATGGTCAGCACCTGTGAGGGCAGCAAGGTGAAGCAGTGGGAGAGGTTGGGAAGTGACACAGCCACGACAAAAGGCCTTGCCGACCCTGCAGGAACTCTGACACCGAGGCGGCTCCTCAGAGATGTTCTGAGTTGGAGCAAAGTGACCAGGACTTTCAGCTCCCACAGAGCTCCATCCCTGGATGCAGGTCACCCTGGGAAGGGTGTGACCTTGGGCAAGGCCATGACCTCAGTGAAGGGGTGTGATCTCGGGTGAGGCTGCTCTGTCATCTTACAGAGGAGGTCCTGGCAAAGGTCTCAGCTGTGAGCCCTCTACAAGCAACACCCCTACAGTGGGGGAAATGAGGTCTCGGTCCTGGGGTTCAGCGTCCACTCTGAAGTCACACCCTGTGTGCTCCTGGTATTCAAGACCCTCACCTCAGTGTGGCACGGTCTCACCCCAATGCAGACCCTGCGGTCAGATTTAACTCAGCACACCTAAAGTGCCAACCTGGACAGTTCCTGGGGCAGGATGCTGTCTGCTCCCAGTGTCTCTCTGGGCCTAGCTCTCTGTGCACAGGACCCTGCCCAGAAAGGGAGCTATCCTCTCTTTCCATGGAGAGAAAAATGTCTTGCCTACGGCCTTACCCACTTTATCAGTTGTGGGAGCTCATGTCAGTGTGAGATAACTGCTCTCTGTGCAGCACGTGTGTGAACATGAGTCCAGACGCATTACAACTCCAGGAGACCCCTGATGGCAACTTGGGACTGGCAGCCTCACTCAGCAGAGATGGGGCAGGGTGCTAGCAGGGCTCTACACTAGTGGACAGGGTTTCCTGGGGCTGGCTGGGCTCCTCTCTAGCCCAGGCTCCTCATCCGCAAAATGGGAAGCGGGTGGTTAACATGGATGGCCTGCAAAGTCCCAACTCTTAACGTGATGATTCTAAGGTTTTATTTTCTCTCAGCTCCGTCTTCCAGAGGTGATGCCAGTAAGCTGTGAGTGTATTAAAACGTCGGGCAGGAGAGGAAGAGGAAATGTACGTAAGTTGCGTTTTTGTAGTATTTTAAAGCTAGAAGAGAGGAACACCCTGTCTGAATGGTATTCATTCAACGACCATGATAGCCACCATGTGGGACACTGCTCCAGACCTAGGGCAGGGCAGACTGAGCCTGTGCTCATGGAGAGAGCAGTCTCATGGGGATACAAATGTGTCAGACTGTGTAAGTGGTCCATAGAACAGGTGACGGACTGTAGAGCAATGGCAGTGGGTCTGCTGTTTAGAAGGAGTGATGAGTGTCCTAGTGTGGCTGTAACAAATCACCAGAAACTGGGTGGCTTACAAAAGAAATCTGTTCTCTCATAGTTCTGGAGGCACAAGTCTGAATTCAGGGTATCAGCAAGGCCATGGACACTTAGTTTAAAAAAAAAAAAAAACAGGGTGAGAGATGGGAGAAGGCCTCCCTCAGTGGTGCAGGCTTGCAGAAGAGGGATGGGCACTGCTGCAGGAATAGCACAAAGCCCCATCCAGATGCTTCTACCCTAAGGAACAAAAGCCTTAAACTGCTAGGGAAAGGACAACAAACCCTGTTGGCCCCAGGATACAGGTAAAGGCCCATCGAAGTTGGTGGAAAGGAAAAGAAAATTCCTCTTACTGCAGGCAGAGGGCAGGAAATCGTCCTGGACTCGGAGGGGCAGAATCACTGGAAAAGCCTCATTTCCCTAGACCCAGGAACATAGGGCCTAAGACTGAGACTGGAACAGGGTAGCAGAAAACCCCCTGCCCTTCCAAACGGGGTTAGCAAGCACTGAGTAACCGCTAATGTGAGAGAGGGGGGAAATGTGGAGAAAGAACCTCTGAGAGGTACACAGGAAAGGTGTAAACCTGAGGGTGGAGCAGGAACATTGTGAAATACACTCTGGTAAATCAGCCCCCTCCTTAAAAACAAGGTAACATTAGGGGAGTTTGAAGCCAGTAGTGCATTGAATGTCTTGGAAGAAATACAACCAGAATGCTCCTTAGAAGCAAGGATGGTGAGACTATGTCTTACATACTTTGGACATGTTGTCAGGAGACACAACAAGTGCATTGAAGGTAACCATAGCAACCACTCAAATCCAACTCAACTCCTAACTAGGTTGACTCAACTCTGCACAATAATGGCTTAGAAGAAAAGGCATGTCCATTTTCAGGCATAAATCATTCTTACCTCAGTCTCTGCTGTCCTACCCATGTTTGGCATTCAATAAAAAATTACAAGACACACAAAAGAGCAAGTAAAATCAACCCACTGTCAAGAGACAAATCAACTGAACCAGACTCAGATGCTCAAGGTATTGAAGCTATTAGGCAAATTTAAAATAATTATGATTAATATGTTGTAGGCTCTAGTGGAAAACATGCACAAACATGCACGAACAAATGGGGAACTTCAGAAGAGATGGAAACTATAAGGAAGAGTCAAATGGAAAAGCTAGGGGAAAAAACAGTAACAGAGATGAAGAATGCCTTCTATGGCTTATTGTAGATGCAACACAGCTGAGAAAAGAAGCACTGAACTTGAAGGCCAGTAGAAATTACTCAAACTGAAATGGGGGAAAAAAGGTGAAAAATACCCCAACAGCACAGAGCACCAGAGGGTAGAAGAAATATTAGAAGAGATAATGGTCAGTAATTTTCAAAAAATAATGAAAACATCAAGCCACGGATCCAAGAAGCCCAGGGAACCACAAACAGGATAAATACCAAAACAAAGCAAACAAACAAACCAAAAAAACACCTAGCTACATCATACTCAGACTGCTCAAAAGTTAAAGTAATGAGGAAAATTTGAAGGTGAATAAAGAGGAACAAAGATAGGAATTACAACAGATATCTTGTGAGAAACTATGCAAGCCAGCAGATAATGGAATGCTATCCTTAAAATGTTGAAAGGAAAAAACTGAACTCAGAATTCTATATCTAGAGAGAGAATATCTTTCAAAAATGAAAGAGAAATAAAGACTTTATTAAAACAAACCAAAAAAGAGAATTCATTACCAGTAGAGCTACGTTATAAGAAAGTTGAAGTTCTTCAGATAGGAATATGATACCAGACATAGAATTGGGTTTATACAAAGAAATGAAGATCCCTGGAAATGAAGGTAAATATAAAATACATTCTTTTTTTTAAATTTTTAATCTCTTTAAAAGATAGTAGCTTTCTAAATAAAAAAGAGTAGCAATGTATTGTGAGTTTACAGAGCACGTGGAAGTAAAATGTATGACAATACAAAATGGGAGAGTGGAATTGAGAGTATACTGCTGTAAGGTTACTGTTGTAAATATACTGTTGAAGGATATATTTGAGGGTTGACTGTGATTAATTAAAGATGCATATTGTAAACCCTGGGCAACCAGTAAAATTTTTTTAAAGATACATAAATAAAAAGACCAGTCTTGCCATGAAGTAGGACAGGGGTTGACAAACTATGACTCACAGGTCAAATCTAGCCCACCACCTCTTTTTGTAAAATAAAGTTTTATTGGAGCACAGCCATCCCAATTTGGCTGCTTTCCCACTACAACAACAGAGTTGAGTAACTGTTGAGTAGTTCGATCACAAACTCTATGGCCCACAAAGCCTAAAATATTTATTATTTGGCCTTTTACAGGAAAGTTTGCCACCTCCTGGAGTAGGGGGACAAGGTGGCAACAGAGAGGCCGGTGGAGAGGCTGTTGTCCTCATCCAGGTGAGAAATGATGGGAGCTTAGACTCAAGAGGCTATGATGAATGGTTGGAATTGGGTGAATTTTGGAGGAGGACCAACAGAACATGGATAAAACTGACAGTATTTAGAGAAGTTATTTTCAAACTCTCTTTGTAGCACAGGATCCTTTTCTTTAAAAAAAAAAAAAAATTAAACTTACACAAGAGTCAACTTAAAAACAGACCCTTCCCCCCAAAACCAAGATTATTTTATCTGAGTGAAGTTTGGGTAGAGGACCCTGCACCCTGTTTTCTCAGCACCCCAGACTTCCCCTGGCATCGCACAGAGCCCCTCAGGTTCAGATAAGCAGAATTTGAAAACTATAGATCCAAAGCATGGACATCTGTACAACTTGTGATGTCACTTTGCAGTGTCTACTCTGTCACAGGATTTAATGTCACCATGTTATAAGATAGGACGCTGCTTGCATGAAGCATGGTGGTGAGAAAACAACCTGACCAAAATGCCACCATTTGCCATGTTGGGCTGACTGTATAATGGGTCAGACACATGTCTTGGACAGGTACTTTCTAGATGCCTACTTGCCTGGAGACAGCAATGGGGTAGAGATGCCCTTGCAGAGGGCCTGATAGCTTGTGGCTGGTGAAAAGATGGGAGTATTGGATGGAGCATCAGGTTCCCTGTCTACAGCTTCCAAAGTGTGTTAATGTGAATTTCTGGTATATGTAGGTATGCAAGATAATTTCAGGTGGCATGAATAATTTTAATTTACATAATCACATATTTATCTTAATGTATAAGTGCTTCTAAGCGTATGTATTTTAAGGTTTAAGTGCTACTGAAAATATAGGCTTAATGCTAATATAAATATAAATGCTAATAAATATATAGGTAACCTCTAAAATGTGTGAATATTCAGATATTATTGCTTAGTGTTGAAAGCTGGACATTGAATACAGAAGTCCAAAGAAGGACTGATGACTTTGAATTATGGTGTTGATGAAGAATACCAAATATACCATGGACTACCAGAAGAACGAACTAGTCTGTCTTGGAAGAAGTACAGCCAGAGTGCTCCTTGGACATGTTACCAGGAGGGACCAGTCCCTGGAAAAGGACATCAGGCTTGTAAAGTAGAGGGTCAGCGAAAAAGAAGACGACCCTCGATGAGAATTGACACAGTGGCTACAACAATGGGCTTAAACATAGCAACAATTGTGAGGATGGCACAGGGCCAGGTAGTATTTTGTTCTTTTGTACATAGGGCCGCTGTGAGTCAGAACCAACTTGCCAGCACCTAACAACAGCAGCATTGCTTAGTGTACCATTCAGAATCTATAACATTTAGCATGAGATTAAAGTAGGTATATTTAAAATGTAAGTCAATTTAAAAAAAATATTAATACTAGAGCAGTTTGGTGGCTAGATATGGCAAAAGGTAGAATGTAAATGAAAACCCTCTCTTGCTGTATTCCCGGGAAATATCAGTCATCCTTTGAGGGTAGCTTGTCCGATTGAACTTGAGCTGCCCGCCTTCCTGTCCACTCCAGGCCCCCCTCCCCTCCCACACACACACTGTGCTTCACACCCTCGATGAAGTCTCAAGGAGGGAATCTGTTTTTAAAAGAGATGTGGATAGCCCCAGCCTCCCATCCTGCTGGTATTTGCCTCCCATGTACGCTATGCCATGCCCTTCTTAAGTCTTCTCTTTATTTTCTTTCCCTCTTCAGGGAAAGAGAGAAGGAAAGACCCACCGTTACTTGTACCTAGCTGCTCACAACCCAGCACAAGTTGATAAACTTCCCATGAGCCCAGTGGGACCTTTGAAACTGCAGGTGTGCATGAAACAAGGTGCTTTTGCTGTGGGTCAGTCCCAGGAGGGCAAATGTGAGGGCCATGTAAGGACACAGCCAAGACCAAGTGTGAGGAGCTGCAGCCACCAGGGGCATTATTTCTGCAGGGGTTCTTGGGGCATGACCAGCAGGCGAAGATGACTTTATTTTTAGGTATTTGTGAGCGACAGTTTACATAGAGAACCGGGGTCAAGAGAGTGAAGTAGCCTCCTGCTCTGACATCTCCCTCTCTCTATGTTTCTGTCTGTCTCTCTCTGAGCTCTATGTGGTGGGACCCCTTTCCTGGGAGGGAGCACATATGATCTTGAGGCCGCTGTCCTCGTCGCTGGAGGAAGGCTGCACAGATGTGGTCCCAGGAAGGGGCTGCCACCTCTCCGTGGGGGCCAGGCCCTGTCCCCTGTGGCCCCCCACGCTCTCCTCGGTGGGTGCCCTCTGCTCTGGGAAGCAAAAGCTGCAAGTTTCCACCGGCTCTGGCGTCCCGGCCCCAACGCTTCCAACTTCCATCAAGTGATCTGAGAAAGGGGTGGAGAGGTGTTGGCCCGGCCTTATCCTCCTCCTCATTCCTGCACCCCAAGCAACATCAGCAGGTACACACTGGTACGAGCACAGGTTGTGATGAAAAGGAAATACTTATGCAAACTGGTAAATCATCACTGTCTCCCACCCCTAAACCCTGCCCGGTCCTCCAGCCAGCCCAGCCCCATCCACCCCAGGACTTCAGGCATCTCCTCAGGCTCAGGAGCTACAGAGCAACCGCCCAGCAGAGCAGAGCCCACTAAGGCTCAACTCTGACTTCCCTTCTGAGTGTCGTGCAGCCTGCACCCCCAAACAGTCAACACCACTGGGGACAACCAGCTCCCCTGTTTACTGGGACTTTTCCAGATGGCTGGCCCCTGCATATCCTTTCGTCAGGCTCTACGTCCCTCTCTGCCTGCCTACGTATGTGTTTAAACCTGACTTTTCCTGGAGAGAAGAAATACTGCAGGGATGTGCTCAAGCCTTTCAAAGGATGATTTGGCAAAATGCCAACCACTTAGAACCAGGGCAATGACAAGACAAAGGGGTTGCTCCGTGCTTGTGACACGCAGTGAGAATGGGGGAGGACTCACCCTGGGAGGATTCGGCCTGAGTGTGGCTTGGCTCGTGGGGTAGCTGGCAAGAGCACTGGCCCCCTCTCCTCTTGAGGAAGCAGGCCATGGCCACAAGGAAGCAGCAGACAACGGCACACAAACAGAGGCCTAGCGTAGTGTAGACCAGGGCCAGCTGGCCCCCACTCAGCTTCAGCCCTTGGGGTGCTGCAAGACAGGGGGACACCCAGAGCTCAGGAGGAGCTATTTCTCCGTAGGGCCTTTTTCTTCTTAGGCCAGCAGCCTCCAACTCTATGGTCTTTCTCCTTATTAGGTCCATTCAATCCACGTTAAATCCACACCCACATGCAACCCTCATATGATCCACGTGCAACTCACAATCCACATGCAACTCAGTCCACATGCAACCCACACAAATCCACATGCAACCCCCATACAACCCACATATAATCCATATGCAACACACATGCAACCTGCACAATCCACATGCAACCACATGAAATCCACATGCAACCTATACAGTTAACACAAGTCCACATGAAACTGACAATCCACACACAGCCTAGACACAATCCACATGCAACCCACAGGGCCATCCCCACCCAGCTGTGTGGTTGCTGGGCCTGTGGAGAGCTTAGTCCCCAGCCCCCTGGTCTGCTGTAGGCCTTCTGGACCCTGAAGCTTGGTTGACTGACACACTCTCTGGACCCTGGAGGAAATTGACCCCCAACACATAATGTCAGTGGCAACTTCTTCCGAGGCCTCAAGGCTGGAGGAAACATCCTTGAGTTGGCCCTTTTCATTGTCTCCACTTGATATGAGGATATAGATTATGGCAGGACCAGAGATGGATGGGTGGGTGGGTGGATGGATGGATGGATGATAGCTCAGGAGGTTGCCTCTGTCTTCCCTGAAATAGGCTCTTCCTCAAAGGAGAGGCCTTCTTGGTGGACTTTATTGTCCCAATCTGGATAGTCTTGAGAGTGAAATGGGGCACGATTACTAATTAGTCTGGTATGACAGGTATGGACTAGGACTGCCCTAGGGAGTTGGGGCATGTGGTCTCTCTACTTCTAAGTGACTCAGACCTCCCTGTTTTGATGTCAGAGGGAGAGTAAGCCCAGGACCAAAGCTCTCCCCTTGAAATTTTGCCTCATTCCAAGCTTTTCCACTATATGTGAGGCATTTTCTGTACATTATCTCCCTTAATCCTCCTGGGTCTGTGAAGGAAGATTGATTACCCCATTTTTTAAATTGAGATATAATTCATATACAAAAATCACCATTTTAAAGTGTACAATTTAGTGGTTTTTAGTATATTCACAAGGTTGTGCAACTGTGACCACTATTTAATTCCAGAACATTTTCATCACCCCAAAAGGAAACCCTGTTTCTGTTAGCAGTCACTCCTCAGTCTTCTCTCCCCCTACCCCTGGCAACTGTTATTCTACTTCCTGTCTCTATAGATTTACCTATTCTGGACATTTCATATAAATGACGTTATATAATATGTGGTCTTTGTGACTGCCTTCTTTCACTTAGCATAATGTTTTCAAGGTTCATCCATGTTGTATGTATCAGAACTTTTATAGCTGGATAATATTCCATTGTATGGATAGAACATACTTTGCTTATCCAACATGAGTTGGTGGACATTTGGATTGTTTATGCTTTTTTACTATTATGAATAGTCTGCTATGAACATTCATGTCAAGTTTTTGCAATCCCCTGAGTATATAGCTAGGAGTGGAATTGCTGGATTATATGCTAACTCTGTGTTTAACTTTTTGAGGAACCGCCAGACTCTTTTCCAAAGTGGCTTCACTGTTTTAAACGCTATTTTGAGTTGACGAAACTGAGTCTCAAAGTCACACTGTTCCCAGTGGCAGGACTGCAGCTGGGAGTCAGGTCTGACCAACTGACACAGGTGCTTCAGTCTGGGGACCAGCATACTACCCAGGGCAGAGAGGCAGAAGGCTTCCCCTTTGCCCTGACATGTGCGCCTGAGATCCTGGAGTTAGTAGTTATCTGGTACAATCAGCTCACTGCCTGCTGGTCTCAGGGAGTAAAGGGCACAGGCACAAGTTATTGTCAGCCAAAGGGATGCATCTCTCTTGTCCGGGAGACAGCCCCCTGGAGGTGCAGTTCCAAGAGCCACCAGCAGGGGCATTGCTCCTAGCTCTGTCTGCTAGGAGTTCAGGCTGGCCCAGCACTAAAATCATTTACTTCCAGCTGTTTTTTTTTTACTATTTTCAAAGCCATTTCTCACCAAAAAAGTGAGATTTCCCAGGCCTGCTGCTGTCTCCAGCCCAGGTTTGGGCTGGCCCGTTGGGCAGCACTATAACTGGTAGCTTAGGGGCAGAGCAGCATGGTGTTGCTGGGCTTGAGAAGGGGGCAGCAAGGCCTGTAGAGCCTGACTTGCCTGGGCTGAACACGACTGTGAACACTACTCAACTTCTTTAGGCCTCCCTTGTTTCTTCATATGTACTCCTATCTCAGAATTACAATACCTATAAATATGCAAGAGGCCTGAGTGGAAAGTTCCAGTAAGTTACCAAGCATCACCTAGCCTCTACAGCTCAGTAGCAAGGGAAGTCTGTCCTTGGGAAGGTGCACTGGCTCACACTGAGAGGGACAAGGTGGGCTGGGTCTGGAGAGAACACCTTCTTCCATGCCCCATCTCTGCTCAGCGCAGGGCTCTCTACCCCTTGCCCTCATGGTCAAAAGTGGGGCCGTCTTCTCAGCATGGGGATGACCTGCCCAGCATTTGGCTGTCAGTTCTCCTTAGCTCACCTCTGCCCCATGCATTGTCTGTTTCCGCCAGAGGTTGGATGTTCACACTTAAAAGAGGGCTGCTTATGGTGAGGGGGAGCCTCACTGTTAGGTCACTGGAAACCTTCAGATATCAATATCTTAGGCCATTTTTGTACTTTGCTGGTCTGTTTCCCACAGAGGAATCCCCCAGTCTCTGTGTGGCAGCAGGCTAGCCTCAGGGAGTTAGTCTTGTGAATGTCGCCCTGGTTTGCCTTGCTGTGGCAGAGTGGATAAGCTTTGGAACCCACAGACTGGGCTCCAATCCCAGCTCAGCCATGTCCACAATGTGTGGGTCTTAGCAAGTCAGTCCATCTTTTGAGAGTTAGTTTCTCAATCTGTAAAATAGGAAGTATTAATCTGTCAGTTTGTCGAACTGTGGTGGCTTGTGTGTTACTGTGATGCTGGAAGCTATGCCACCAGTATTTCAGATACCGGCAGAATCACCCATAATGGATAGGTTTCAGGGGAGTTGCCAGACTAAGACAGACTAGGAGGAAAGGCCTGGCAATTTAGTTCTGAAAATTGGCCAGTAAAAACCCTATGGATCACAACAGAATATTTGATACAGTGCTGGAAGGAGTCCCTGAGCAGTGAAAATGGTTAAGCCCTGTACTACTAACCTACATGTCAGTGGTTCAAACCCACCAAGGCTCCTCAGAGGACAGGCCTGGCGATCTGCTTCAAAAAACTCACAGCCTTGAAAACCCTATGGAGCAGTTCTACTCTGCACACATGGGGTCACCACGAGTCGGAATCGACTTGACAGCAACAAAAACATAGTGCTGGAAGATGAGCCCCATAGGTTGGAAGGCACTCAAAATGCACTGTGGCCACAATGGACTTAAGCCTACCAGCAGTTGTGAATATGTGCAGGACCAGGCAGTGTTTGGTTCTGTTGTACATGGGGTCGCCATGAGTTGGAGCCAGCTCGACAGCAACTAACAACAATATTGATATGAAGCAACTCTGTTGTGTGAGAGGTGGGGAATGTCCCGAGTTGATTGGAAGAGTTGAATGTTGTGGACCGGGAGAGGATACACAGGCCAGCATCCATGCCCTCAGCCATGAATTTGCAGTTCCTGTCATGAGAGGCTGCAGCAGATTACCAACGGCCACAGATTTGTAGGCTCAAGTTTTTTGCCAGTCCTCCCAGCAGGAGGTGGAGTGTATCTCCACCTTTGAATCTGCTGGCCCTGTGACTTGTTTGAGTAATAGAACACAGTGGGGGTGATGTATACAGGGTCCAGGCTGGGGTTCAAGAGGCCTGACAGCTGCCCTTTTGCCCACTTGGGACACCGCTGCCTCGGAGACCAGCCCAGGCTGCCTCCTTGAGGATGAGGGACCCGTTCCAGCAAATGACCAAGATGTGGGTTCGAGTCCAGCCAGCACCATGGGTGCAGACATGAGCCCTGCCACTGAACTGGGCCCAGACCACCGACCTGTGGAGTTCCAACAAATGATTGCTGTTCGAAACTATTACATCTCGGCTCAGTTTGTTTTGCAGCAAGAGATACCTGACCCAGAGCCAGTTTCCCCAGCCTTAATTTAGACCTGACTTGCCCGATGAGGCGGGCATGCATAACTCTGACCCTGCACCTCCACCACTATCATGAGAAGGGTACAACTGGCCAGCCCACTGGTCCCAGGATGAGGACAAGACATGTGAACATTGCCTGGCCCCAGCCAACCACCAGATTCAAGAAACTGCCTGGGTTAGGGTGCTTTGTTATGCAGCAGTAACTGGCCAATGAGAGAGCAGGCAGGAGTAGGAGACTGCAGTCTAGCCAAGTGGGACATGTGGCCAGGTAACCTCCAGTACCAGGGCACATGAGCCTTCCCCCTTGGTGTCTCAGTATTGGGGCCTAGCTTAATGGAAATGGTTTGATCATGCAGAGAGTCACAGGTAAGAGAAACTAGCCAGCCTCCCGGGAGCTGTAAGCCTGTTGTCTCTCCAACAGACCAAGGGCGTTGGAGATATCATCTCAAATGTTCCAGGATCCCACGGTCTCCCCCTCCCATCCTTTCTGTCACCAAGAAGCAGGGCAGGGGAGCCAAGAGCGGTAGGCTAGGAGGATGGTTCGGCACTTCGCAGACAGCAACCCCAGGGCACCCTTATTTACCATGTGCAGAGGGCCAGCTCCACTATAAACTTTTTGGTAATATCTTTCCCTTCTCATTCTTAGGCAGCCTCTGTGGCCTGTAACTTTAAATCTGAATCCTCTGCAGACATGGGCTCCGTCTCCTGCCCGGACTGCAGCAAGGCTAGTTCTGCGTGGGACTTGCTGCCTTGTGCTTTGAGAAGTCACTCTTCCTCGGAGCCTCCATTATAAGGCTCCAACCCCCATCCTTTCTCCTCCTGCTTCCTTCATGCCCATAAACTTCTGAAATTTTGCCGACATTGTTCATATCCTGTGATGCCCCCTGGCTTCTGGCCGTGTACCTGAACTCTGGGTGTCCTTCTTGCAGCCACTGCTTATTTAGGACTAGGGCCTGACCTCCCACCCATTCTGACCCTCAGACCTTCAGGAAGCTTACCTGAAACTGCCTCCGAGCCTCTGGACTCTGGTCCCTGGTAGCTTCCTGAGTTGTTGGGCTTGGCTTCAGCCTCCCCAGTCTTCTGCCTTCGGAGCTGTGGAGGGAAGTTTACTTGGCTCTGTTCCTTGAATTTGTTCTCACAGAAGTATGCACATTGCTTGGGGTGTTGTCCACAGATGGAGGCACAGCTGATGCAATCATTCAGAAGATAGTCATAGTACCTGCCTGGCTCCTTGCGGCAGCTGAGTGACTCTGGAAGACAGAAATAGGTGATGCTAATGGGTGACAAAGATTTGTAGGAGCTATGAGTCTGGTCTCAAAAGGCATCAAAGTTTAAAAAAAAAATCAGAGTTTAATTACCAAAAGCAATTCCAAAGTAATTCAAGTCCTTTTACAGTATACAAACTTAAGGCTATATATTGCTGTCTAAGTACTGTTTTAACTGCATCCCACACATTTTGATATGTAATATTTTAAACATTTTTAGTTCAAATTTTTTTTTTGTTTTATTATTTCTTCTTTAACCTATAGATTATTTAAAAGGGCATTTCTTAGTTTCCAAATGTATACAGATTTTCCAGTTATCTTTTTAGATTGGTATCTAGATTGTCACTCAAGTTCTTTACCTGCATCTTTCAAACCCATCAAGGAAAAACATATTTCATATTAATATAAGGAATGGTGGAGGAAAAGCCAGAATCCTCTTTGGCAACTTTGAGGAAGGGGCTGAAAGGCAAGTGGGGAAGTTCACATTAATAGTATTTCTTCTGTCTTATTATTAAATAAGAATGGCAGGTGCAAGGAGCAGAAACCAAGCAAAATTAAACCCCAAGCCTATGTCCTTCGGGGCTTGCCTTAAGAGTGCATAAAAGAAATAGATTTGAGACAATCATTCACCTTATGAAAAGGCTCAGAATATTTTTACTTTTATGAGGCAAGTTTCCCTTGTCATTAAAATAAGATTCTATTTATAAAAATGTGACTAACATAAGACTTTAAGGACACATCTCAGAGGCAGGGTGGGAGAGTGGTTACGAGTACAGACTTCAAAGCCAAACAAACTGGGGTGGTCTCTTGCTCTACCACTTGGTATATCCATAGAATGGATTTGTTTAAAATACATAAGCAAAAAAACTGGTTGAGGAATGGAAAGGCAAAATTTTTTGCAGTTGTTGATGGGTACACGGGTTTATCATGCTATTCTGTCTATGCTTGGGTATGTTTGATCATTTCTATAATAAAACATTTCAAAAGAAAATAAAAATTTAGAGCATGAACAAGGAAGGCTGAATTGGGCAGTCAAATAAGACCTCTGCAAAGAAGAAACATTTGGGCTGAGACCTGAGGTAGGAGGTAGGAGGGAGCCAAAGAAAGAAGAATGTTGAAATGCATTGCAGGCAGAGGGATCAGCATGTGCAAATGCCCTGAGGCAGGAAAGTGCATCATGTTCAAGAAACTGAAAGGAGGCCAGTGTGGCCAGAGCAGAAAGATGGAGGAGTAAAAAGGTGCCACATTGTACATCTTCGTTCACACCCCTCCGCAGCCACCCTACTGCAGTGGAGCCATCCCATCCCCTGAGCTCAGATCCTGGAACTCACTGCAGAAGGTTGCACAGATGCGTTGGCTCCGACGGCTGCAGATGGGTTTGCAGGAGACGCAGACCATCAATAGGGGATCCCAGTAGTGCTCTTCGGGGCAGGACCTCATGGCTACCCCCGTCCATGAACCCTGTGGGGCTGAGAGACAGGAAGCTGCGAGGGCAGCTGATGGGCAGCTGTAACCAGCCTCTTGTTTGTGGCCTGTCCAGCTCATATGCCAACTCTCTGTCTCAGTGAGCAGAGGGGAAGCCAAGCAAAGCCAGATTCCAACCCCAGCTGCACTTACTGGGTGACCTGATGTGACTGCCTCCCCTCTCTGACCCTCAGTTTTCCCATCTGTGAAATGGTTGTTGTGAGGATTAAATGAGGCCCCTCTCTCACATCAGCTCATGCCCTACTTGTCCCTGCTCTCTGCCCTCCTTAATGTGTCACACCTTCTCCCACCCCAGGGACTTTGCACATACTGTTCCCTTTGCATAAAATGCTCTTCCTTTTCAGCTGGTTAATTCCACCTCATCCTTTAGGTTTCAGTTTAAGCTTCACTTCTACAGGGAAGCCTTTCTGACTCTTCCTCAGATGAGGACATGACCCCTCTCCTACACATCAATAATGCCTTTTACTGGTCCCTGTCCTTATTTTACTTCTATGTGTGTGATTATTTGATACTATCTCCCCCAATAACTGTAAGCATCCTGCGGGCAGGGGTGGTGTCTACTTTTTTGTTTATTGCTGCATCCCACTATTCTGACTTCTATCACCATAGGCTAACACTGGCTGTTCTTGAACTTGGTATCTGGCTTCTTCTGCTCCCCAAAGTATCTTAGATTCATTCATGTTGATGTTTTCTTGGCCCTTTGGGGCTTGTCATGCTGTGAGTCTCCCATGATATGAAGGCATCACCTCTTCTATAATTTCCCGTCTGATTTAGTGACATTTGCTTCCCCAATACCTTCTCCATTTAAATGTTTCACAAGGGATTTGTTTATTCTTTCAGTGAAAGTAAGCCAAGAAAAGATAAGTGGCTTCCCATTTAATATGGCATCTTAAACACATAGATATGTTCAAGAAACTGAAAGGAAGCCAGTGTGGAGCTCTCTTTACTTCCCTGACAGTGAAGGATATTTGTCCTCAAGGATAAAGAAAATGGGAGCAGTGACTACAGCAGAGGATTCACAGAAGGCAGATGGACTGAGGTAAATGACTTCAGCTTAGGATTTCTCTACTTTGATGCATACACAAGGGAGGAAGCCAAGAACCCCAGAAAGTCTTTGGAATTGGAGGCACCAAGTATCTTTGAAGGTGGGGGGGGGGACGGGGCTAGGCTATGAAAGGAGGATTATTTGGAAATCTGTATATAAAGAGTGCTTGACTCCAACTTGAATCCCAGCCCCAGCCAGGTGGCAGCCCCTCCCCAACCCAAGCTGAAGACTAGGGGTGTCCTCAGGCCCAGCTTAAGGTGGGAAAGAGGTCCTTCCTGAAAAGAGGGGGCTTACGTGAACATTCTTCCTCCCAAATGGGTTCCCCCTCCCAGCCCCACTGCTACCACCACCACTTCCATCACCACCATCACCACCACCACTTTCACCCTAGCTCCCTACCTAAGGGGTATTTGAGGCCAGGTTGTTAAAATGCCTCCCTCCCCACTCCCCAACCGGCAGGAAATCAGCAGACTCTGCTCTGAGAAAACTGGCCCAAAGGAAAAGACCTAGAGGCACTGACGGGGAGATCTTCTCAACAAGATGGCCAAGTTCCTGCCTTAACACCCCTGAGTGAAGCTTATATACTAACAAAGCACCTATTTACCCAGAGCTTCAACTGGCTGTTAGTGCCTCTGTCATAATTATGAACCAATAGCCAAAGGAGGCACACCACTAGCATGAAAGAGGACACACAAACCAAACAACTAGAAGAAAAGTACTTGGAGACAATGCAGGGAACTGAAGAAAACAAGTAACCATAGCAACAGTTAATAGCCTCAGAAAGATAATATTTTCCATTCATAAAAAACAGTGTACTCGGAGTCCCTAGGTGGTGCAAGTGGTTAAACACTAGACTACTAACCAAGAAGGTTTTCAGTTCCAACCCACCCAGAGGTACCTCGGAAGACAGATCTAGTGATCTGCTTCCGAAAGGTCACAGCCTTGAAAACGCTGTGGAGCAGTTCTACTCTGCACACATAGGGTCATCATGAGTTGGAATCAAATTAATGGCAACTAACAACAACAAAACAAAGAAACATGACAATCAAATACAATGTGTGAATCTTGATTGTATCCTGGATATAAAAAAACTAAACACTGTACTATTAAAAAAAAATTCATAGAACAAGAATTTTTGGAAATTAAAAATACAATAGCTAGAATAAAAACATTAGTAAAAAGGTTGGAAGATGTAATTGAAGAAGTTTCCCAGAAAATAGGACAGAAAAGATGAAAATTATGGAATCATTTCAGGAAATACAAAGATTGTCTAATAGGCATCTTAGAGAAAACAAATTTGAAGAACATGAGCTTCCAGGTTGAAAGGGCTAGTCAAGTATGCAGCACAATAAATTTTCACTGATGAAGACACATCATCATGAAATTTAGGAACATCAGAAATTCAGAGGAGATTCTAAAATCTTGAGAATAAACAATCTACCCATAAAGCTTTGTGGATTAGGAAATCAGTGGACATCTCAAAAGCAGTACTGGAAGTGACAAGGAAGTAGAACGATGCCTCTACATTTATGGTAAAAATTTAGAAAGTTATAGAAAAAATACAGAAAAATATTTTTTATTGTGCTTTAGGCAAAAGTTTACAGAGCAAATTAGTTTCTCATTAAACAATTAATACACAAATTATTTTGTGACACTGGTTGCCAACCTTGCAATGTGTCAATATTCTCCCCTTCTTGACCTCGGGTTTCCCATTTCCATTCATCCTGTCCCTTTCTGCCTTGTATTTGCTTTTGGGCTGGTGTGCCCATTTAGTCTCATATACATCGTTGAACTACATGTGTTATTGTTTGTTTTATAGGCCTGTCTAATCTTTGGCTGAAGGGTGAACTTCAGGAATGATTTTCAGTACTGAGTTAAAAGGGTGTCCAGGGGCCATACTCTCGGGGTTTATCCAGTCTCTGTCAGACCAGTAAGCCTGGTCTTTTTTTGTGAGTTTGAATTTTGTTCAACATTTTCTCCAACTCTGTTGGGACCCTCTGTTGTGATCCCTGTCAGAGCAGTTGGTGGTGGTAGCCAGGCACCACCTAGTTGTGCTGGACTCAGTCTGGTGGAGGCTGTGGTACTTGTGGTCCATTAATCCTTTGGACTAATCCTTCCCTTGTGTCTTTGGTTTTCTTCATTCTCCTTTGCTGCAGATGGGATGGGACCAGTAGAGTATCTTAGATGGCCACTCACAAGCTTTTAAGACCCCAGATGCTACTCACCAAAGTAGGATGTAGAACATTTTCTTTATAAACTGTTTTCTGCCAATTCAGCTAGATGTCCCCTGAGACCATGGTCGCCAGCCCTCAGCCCTGTAACTCCATCCATCAGGAAGTTTGGATGTGTCTGTGAAACTTTCATGACCTTGCCTTGGTCAAGTTGTGCTGACTTCCCCAGTATTGTGTACTGTCTTACCCTTCACCAAAGTTATCACTTATCTATCATCTAATTAGTGTTTTTCCCTTCCTACCCCTTCCCTCCCTCATAACCATCAAAAATTGTTTCTTTCTATGTGTAAACATTTTCATGAGTTTTTATAATAGTGGTCTCGTACGGTATTTGTCCTTCTGTGATCGACTTACTTCACTCAGCATAATGCCCTCCAGATTCATCCATGTTGTGAGATCTTTCACAGATTCATCATTGTTCTTTATTGTTGCGTACTATTCCATCGTGTGTATGTACTGTAGTTTGTTTATCCCTTCATCTGTTGATATGGGCACTTAGGTTGTTACCATCTTTTTGCTATTGTGAATAATGCTGCAATGAACATGGGTGTGCATACGTCTGTTTGTGTGATGGCTCTTATTTCTCTAGGATGTATTCTTAGGAGTGGGGTGGCTGAATTGTATGGTATTTCTATTTCTAGTTTTTAAGGAAGCGCCATATCATTTTTCAAAATGGTTGTACCATTTTGCATTCCCACCAGCAGTGCATAAGAGTTCCAATCTCCCCGCAGCCTCCCCAACATTTGTTATATTCTGTTTTTTTTTCTTTTTTCTTTATTTAATTAGTGCCAGTAATGTCAGAGTTAGATGGTATCTCATTGTAGTTTTGATTTGCATTTCTCTAATGGCTAACGATTGTGAGCATTTCTTCATGTCTGTTGGCCATCTCAGTGTCTCCTTTGGTGAAGTGTCTGTTCATATCCTTTGCCCATTTTTTAATTGGATTATTTGTCTTTTCATGGTAGAAGTGTTGGATTTTCTTATAGATTTTAGAGATTAGACCTTTGTTGGATATGTCATAGCCAGAAATTTTTTCAGTCTGTTGGTTCTTTTTTACTCTTTTGGTGAAATTTTTTAAGGGGGCATAAGTGTTTAATTTTTAGAAGATCCCAGTTATCTAGCTTGTCTTCTGGTATCTGTGTATTGTTAGTTATGGTTTGTATCCTATTTATGCTGTATATTTGGGCCCCTAGCATTGACCCTATTTTTTCTTCCAATGATCTTTATAATTTCTTAATGGATTGTCCAGAAAACACTGAGGGTGTCACTGGGTGTAATGTCCACTGGATCTTCCCAGCGGCACTTCCATCTCAGTTAGGCTGGTGGGTCCTATGTCCTGCATTGGAATTGCTCACAGTCTACACACATATAAACACAAGCTGCACTCTGACTTTGTTGGGGTGGGGTGGAGAGGAAGTTGTGTGTATAGATGGTGATGTAAGTGTAAATTCTCATCTTAGAAAGCAGGAAATCAATATATGATGTCTAGAATTGAGAAGTCAAGAAATAGCAGTGCAAGCTTATTGTATTTTTAAAATCTTTGCGGTGGGCCTGGTGGTGCCACTGGGCGGCAGTCCTAGGAACATCTGGACTGTGTGTCCAGGTCCCGTGTTCTCTGGCTGTGACCTTGGGTGGATCACTTCACCTCTTCAAGACCCAATGTAAGCATGCTATGGCTTACTTCATGGGGTCACTGAGAGAATTACATGCAGAGCAGGTACTTAGTATGGGGCTAACCACACTGTTAGAGGCTTAACCCCCTGAGTTATTGCCCGTATTTATATGGCCATTCCTTGTGATGTGGAGTGCTGTGATGACTGAGGCCTGGATGGGAAAGGGTGTAAAGCAGCATAAGAAATCACCTAAAATTCCTGAAGGATAAGAATCAGAATCAGCACAAAAGTGGTTCCTATGAGTTGAAGGTCAGACATACCTCCACTCTCCACTTCTTCACCATTTCTGTCACCACCGTTCCCCCACGGCACTCTCTACTTCTCTGGTGGGTTTGAAA